ACACTCGGCGCATATTCGAGAGATTTGAGGTCCGAGTCCCGGCGGTATATTTCACAAGTGCACATCTGTGTAGCCACCAAGGGAGTGGCTTCTAGGATGGACCAATGGGCATCCAGTAATATTTCTGTCGTGTCACATGACCTTTCGCGCGTTTAAAGATTTAAGGAAGATGACTGAAAATATTTCGCCACACAATTTTCTGTACAAAATAATTAAAGCCCCGTCGATTTCTTTTCAAAATTTTCATTGCGAAGTTAGATCAAATATAAGCAGTTGTGAAGATGTCACTACCTGGTTGAAATAATTTGAAATAAATACAAGCACATGTTGGATACTCTGCAAAAATATCCATGTGAAATATTACCATAAGTGGTAAATAAGATGAAGAAAGAAATATGTGATAAACTTCTGAGCCCAAATGCTATCTTTACATAAAATTATGCATATGAGAAAAATATTTACACCAATTATATACGTAAATAGAAGTCAGCACTTTTTATCGCAGTCTATATGAAAAAGATGTTCTATAATAATAGGCAATGCAGAATTTTATTCAAAGTGAACTTTACTAATTTGCATTCGTATACATTTAGTGTGCTAAATTTCGCATACTGCTCACTCTTAAATCTACTATCTACACAAGAAATACTCATCAAACAGAACGAATTTATCTTATTCACAACGAATATATTCAATTTATTCACATATAACTTTTAACGTTAACAATGCATATAATCAGATCATACATAATATGTATTCTGAATCTTACACTTTAAAAATCAAAAGAATGCAAGCACTGAAATAACACTAGATTCATTAGTCCTTCTCCCAGCTCAATAAAAAAATATATACACTTGAATTCTGTTAATCCAGTGTTAGTAAATTCATAATATTCGTGCCTAATTGTAGCTTGAGTCATCTTCTCGATGTAAAGAACGATAATATGCCGTAAACATCAATCCAAACATCAATGCGTGATAAAAATCACGAAAGTGAAAGGTGAGCGATTAATAAAACTCATAAAACGAAAGCACTACGAGATTTTCTACTATTATGCCATACATTTATAAATATGAAACAAATGCAAATTAAAACCTAAACAACCTACGCTCACATGCACGAGGATTTAGCGTCACAAGAGCAATAGAAGCTCATTGGTCCATTTTCGAAACTCCTCCCTCAGTGGCTACGCTGATGTGCACTTGTGAAATATGCGTCCCGGCGAGGGCATTGCTCAATTTTCATCTCTCCTGCTTAAAATAACCTAATGACTCTGCATGCTTACTTAAAAAGTAACTACTTTTACTTAACAGATTTTTCAGTTAAGATCGGACCTGAAACTATCATCTTCCGATCTGAGTTTTAAATTACTGGGTGTTGCCAAACGGCCTCAAGGTTCCCGCTGGATGCATATGTACTTTTTTAATTTCATTAAATATCTATAATTAACAATGTACACTATTTTTGCATAACTGGTAAAAATAAAAAAAGTTTCCGTATCATAGTGTTATTACTATACCTGTACGTATAGATGTTAGTAATTATACATAATGAAGATGGGGGGGGAGTGAGGTACGTGGCGGGATGGTAATAGGTGAAGGAATACAAAAAGTTTAAAAAGATGTTGTGAAATGTTGATTTAAGTTGTAGAATTCTCAGAATATTTCAGCCGCTATTGTTCTTTAGAAATCGACGTAGCCATTTGCCAAGACAACAACAGCAATGATTTGTAACCACATAAAAGAATTTCATTTTTATTATATTCGATGTGTGACATTAATATTGTATTTAAATATCATCATCTGACCACGAAGTTTAAAAGATAGGGAATCATTGTATAATTATGTTGTCGGCTTTAACGTTGAATGAAAATGCTGGCATGAGGCATAACCGAGCTAAAAGCGTAGGGAAGGGACATATTGGCCCTACTTTTGGCTTAAGATACGCCAATATGACGACAAAAATGCGGGCTATGACTTAATTGAAAACTTCAGACTACAATCTAAACTTTAAAGTAAATAAATAAAAAAGAAAATCTGAAAGGTTTCAGATTTTAAATCATATTCTTCGCACTGAAACCATAAAATTCAGTTCAAGAGCAATATCGCAAAATAACTTTAAACTGAGCACATCCTTAGAATTTCCGATACACAGTGTCACGCGCTGGAGATAAAAATGTTTTTCCTGTACAATGTTGCCATCGCTCGCTTTGAAATCCTTGAGTTTGTTAATCAGAAATTCTTTAAAGTTTTACAAAATATGAAATCGATAATAAAACAAATTCTAAATTTCAAATCTGGGGTTGCCCATATTCGCAGTAGATTTACGTCATTCAAAATTAGATGGCTCTAGGTACCGTTGTTTTATCACATTGCGAGAAACATACATACATTTATGCAGATTCTTCATTATTTAATTTCTTCAAATATAATACAAGGCGATAATATTTGGTGGAAACAGTTTGAAAAGTGTTGCAGCATTTTAAAGATTTCAGCGCAAAATGCCAAAACGAAAACAATAGTCCCTCAGGGACAAAGCCCCTTTAGACTAATATAAAATATTTGAAAGCTTTCAGAATTTACATTACGCCTAGAAGGGCGTTTTTTTAACGTTTTGCGTGTTACTTTTGTACCATGTTCTTCGCACCTAAACCATAAAAGTCAATTCAACAGCAATATCGCAAAATAATTTTAAAATGCACATATCTTTAGAATTTCCAATACACAGTCTCTTTTTTTTTTTTTTTTTTTTTTTTTTTTTTTTTTTTGTTGTTGTTGTTGTTGTTGTTGTACAGCGTTGCCATTGCTCGTTTTGAAATGGTTGAGTTTGTAAATAAAAAATTCTTTAATGCCTGATAAAATATGAAATATATAATAAAACAGATTCCAAATTAGAGCTTTGAGTAGCCCATATTCTGTGGAGGATTACGTTATTCAAAATTTGATGGCTCTAGGTACCATTGTTTGATCATAATGTGAGAAACACACATACATTTATGCAGATTCTTCGTTATTTAATTTCTTTAAATATAATAGTACAGGGCTGTAATAGTCGGTGGCAACAGTTTGAAAAGTGAATCGACGCAAAATGCCAAAACGAAATTAATAGTTATTAAAATTTTTAAAATATAAAAAAGTACACAAATATTTAGTTTCTTATCTACTACTTCCAAATGAAAATAAATTGTGTGGAATGAACTGAAAAAAAAAAAAAAATCAGTTGGGAAAGAATTTGAGTTTTATAAATTCCATTCGTGTCTGAACATAAAAATGTTTAAAACCGAAAAATAGGGAAATATTAAAAATGCATATTAAGATCTGAAAGAAATTAAGAAAAAAATATACATAAAAGCTACCAGTTTAAAATTTTATAGGTTTCATATCACAGCCATTAGATTTGATTTTGGATGCAGACGATAAAATACAGAAGTACAGTTACAAATTTTACAATGCACCAGTTAAAAGCAGTTAAAACTGCTAATTTATGACTATCATGGCATTAATTGGCACTTGTAAAATATTACTGGGCAGTACAGATAAAATAATAAAAAGCCTCCAACTTATTAATTCTGTCTCTGAGTGATTAGAAATTTCGTGATTACTCCTTATATTAAAAATGTGTGCCATTTTGCATTAAATGTGGGTTAATTTATGAAATCAAGGCCACTCCATGAAGTTTCTCTTAAAGTAGATAAATTATAATGTGCTTAACTGTCAGAGCCTGATCAAGGCAACCTGGGAATCTAGGCACAACCTTTCACACAAGGCTGCAACGCACACAACGCTTTCTATCATTTTTTATTGAGAGGGATAAAATACAGGATTATGATAACTTACAGAATGTTTATTGTACACCTAAAATCTGGGTAACAGGCCCAAGTTTCGTGGGCATAGGCGATACTCAAGCCTTGTTAATAGTAATCAAGTATTTGTCTCAAATTGTCTACGAATTAATTTGACTAGAAACCGAAACTGCATTTTGTACAGGACTTGATTTATTTAATTATGGAAAAGTACATGAGAGCTAACTAAGAGAAGGGATCCCTTCGTGGAGAACAATATAAGGGAAACTGGCTTGTATCCACGTTACTCATAAGGAAAACTACGAAAACACCCATATTAGCATTCTTCTTCTTTCTGTATATTTATTTCTTGCCTTTCTTCTGTGGTTGACATCTTTATTCTGTTACAGGTAATATACTATCACTTTAAATTTTAGCGGCAGTTTTTGCTATCAGTTTTAAAAACAAAATAATTCCTTTCCTTAATGCAAAATAGAGATGAGATTTTCCCAAGCAGTACGAAAATTTACGATTGAGCATTACTTCGCAACGCATAAATTTGATAGAATGCCATTTTTATCAGAATCTTTATCGATGGTTGCTATACTTTATTCTTGACCCTGTCCTATTTGTCCAAAGTCGGAAGAAACGGGCGGCCATTTCATTTCTTACAGCAAACTCTTCCAGTTTCTCGAAATCATGTTACAAGAGAAACTTGTTAGATTCACGAACATTTGGAAGGAATTGGAGGCTTTTACATAGGAATATGTTGCGAAGAATCCTGAGTTAAAAAATTCGTTCTGCTTGATGAAAACTCATCTCAATCTTGCACCAACCAAACTGTTTTTAAAACTAACAGCGTAAACTGCAATTAAAATTTCAAGTAATATATTATTTATAACCGTATAGGGGTGTCATTCACTAAATCAATTTCCCATTAATGCCCGCTTATGAATTTTTACAATTTTTGAAAATTTAATATGCCTAACTTTTTATTACCTTGTGTACTAGTAAATAAATATTCTAATAATTAAGATACTACAAAAGGAACTTTTTTTATTTGCATATCTGTGTGCAACATTTTCAATTTGATCGTTGAAATCTGTATTTGTAAAATGTAGACCTATGATTAGTTGCCCCCCCCGCACTTTTATTTTATTGTTTAGTTTTTTAACATTTTGCTGATCAATAATTAGTAATACATTTGTTATATTTTCAGTTCAGGGTTGTCCAGATCTTCACAGTACAGAGGGAAGTTATCTCCTGGAACGTAACGGTAGTGCAGCTATTTATGCTTGCAGCGGTAACCAAGTTTTCAACGATACACAGGAAAACACCCGCTTTCTAAGTTGTGTTAGAGATCACCACTGGAATGATACTCTGGCGCCATGCACAAGTGAGAACCTTTTCAATACATCTTTCAAAAGCATAAAATTATTCCAAACTGAAGCTTAAACATGATTGCTCCATTTCAACCATTGTTAACAAAATACATAGTGTTGTCCTAATCTTTGAAAATGATTGACTTTAATTATTATGAATAATATAGAGGATGGTTATAATTAAAGTTTCCTTATTCAGAACCCTTTGCAGCCCGTTCCTATGAGCATGCATTAATGTAACTCAGAATATACAATGAAATAAAAAGCATAAATTATCTCCACTATGTGACAGTTTTCAACAAAATTTATTCAAAACTACTATATATTTCAATGTAAAATGTAAAAACCTCAAAGAAGACAAATGCAATTGGGTTACAGCACATGTTTATCATGTATGCACTGTGCAGCTATGACATGTAAGAAGCATAGAACATATGGCATGTTAGAACATGATCAGTCGTTGCAGGAAATAATTTCTGAGGAATATCGGTGATGCTGCTTTACACTAGCCTCCAGCCCAGGCAAGCTCTGAATCAAGCGTGACCTTTTATGAATTCCAACAATCTAATTAGAAATCATATAAGTTTTTTAAGTTTAGAAAGCGGAGACTAAAGTTTCAAAAAAAAATTCTTGAAATCACGTGAGCATTGCACAAGTTGGTAGGACACAATATCTTTAATTGATGGTCAATATGAAGTGCAGCCCAGCTTACACAAAAACTGTCTCTCAACATCCTCATTCCTGCAAGGCAGGAATCTCATACTGTGAAAACATCTGACAGTAATGTGCATTTGTAATTTAATGCATTACAGAATACTTTGTATGAGCTCTTCAAAGAGAAATTAGCCCAGAATAAATAATAATTTCACACAATACAATCTCATAATCAAAAAGCAAAGACTTTTCATGTACAGCTCCTTATCATAGGAAACATGACTCATCTCTTCACAGACTATAAGTAACATGGCACAAGCCAGTTTCTAAGTCCTACGTGAAGGCATCCATCCCCTTATCTAGATAGCTCTTACATATTTTACCATAATCAAGCATCTGTCCACAGGATGACGGCAACATTTCATCAACAGACATTCTTGTGATAAAGCATAAAGAAAATTCTGCATTGTTTTGTGCATCTTGTGGCTGCAACTCTTACACCATGCGAATTTCACAGGTTTGTCATTGTAGAATTATCCCTGGCATCTTTTGTATTGTAGACCAATGAATGCACAATTCATGCACCATTTGCAGCTGAATATTAAGGATAGGAAACTCAGCCACAGCAACAGCCATTTCTTAAACAATTTTGCTCCAAATAAACCGCTGTACACTACCTGGAGCCATGCACAGATTTCGAATCTTTTCAAATTCCTTCGCCATTTTTCATAATTCAAACTTATCATTAGGCTTGCAAAAGATTAGGCTTGCAAAAGATTATTTTCACAATACAACTGAGCAACTGTTGCTCTTAAATATCTGAATGAGTAGATTATGCTCTTCCATTTCTGAAGGCATTGTGATTGAAACAGAATAGTTTCCTAGTACTGACAGTTCACTTTTTATGCAAAAGAGTATATCCTATTTTGCACTAAAAAAGGATATTTTTCTATTTGAATATTTTTGTTAAAAAGCGTCACCTATGGAAATTTGAACTGTTTTCTATTTCTTTGTATTCCTCTTTCCTCTGATCTAAGTAACTTTTATGGCAAGCTTTATTACTTACGCACATTTTTTTTTTACATAAAAAATTGTTTATTATAAATTATATTTGCTTTCCCGCAGCTTTAGAAGAAACAACTACCACAACTTTGGCTCCAAATAAAAGTCAGGAAGTGGCATTTGAATATGTTAACGCCACCTCTACCAAAAAGCCCATAATGCCATCTGGACCAGCATATTTAGAAGGTAGGTATAGCTGTTTTTAATTAGTATTCAAATAGTTAAAATTAATCGATACATTCTTAATCGGTTATTTTTCTTTCAGATATTATAATACCCTCAATATTGATCGGTGTCCTTATCATAGGAAATGCTATAATAATTGTTATCATCCTTATGTTGAGAAGGTAAGATAACTGATGATATTTGATAATTTTCTTTTGTCTAGATTCTTATCAAATTCGTCAAATTTCGAAGGGGTATATTATTGGACATAAATTTTCCTACTCTTACATTTCCTCACCTTAAAAGTTGCTGCTATAGTCTAGTATTCCTATAAATAAGATAATAAATAATATCATGGGATAAAAAATAAAATTTGAATTGAAATTGGGTTTATGAATTTATATTGGTTTCATGTGAATAGCTTCTTCTCACGAGACAGATTTCCTTAAGAATGGTCGAATTATGTAAGGTCTTTCTTAAAATGCAAGTAATATGTTTTTGGAAAATTCTAAATTGTTAAATGCGCGCTATTTTGCATATTACATTGAAATGTTATTCAGAGTTCAAATGTTATTTTTGGCATTACAAATACCCTTTTTGACATACACAAAACATTTCAATCTTTTCCTTAATTACAACTTAATACCAGTAGTCTAACACAGATTTAAATCTTTGTACTGCAAGAAAAATAATAAATAAATAAAAAAATTATAAATTTTTATGTTCAGGATCAGAAACGAATAGATTTTTTTAAGTAATATACTTTCACAAATGTATCCAGCCTACACTAAATCTGAAATAACAAATAATACTCTACATTCACAGCAGAACTGCAAATATTTGGACTGACTATGACCACAACCCATTCAAATATTTGAAATATCACGTTAATATGATTACCTGCATACTGTAATGCATTTAAAGAAATTTTATTGTTCACGTTATTCTGTTTTCAAAAATTTATGCAGTTAAAATAGTAAAATATATTTATTTCTGTAAAACAAAGTACAAACAAACAAACAAAATTATTTTCCTAAGCACACAATCCATTTTGATGTCAACCAAAATGAAATTAATTTTTATTTGCCCAGCCTTAAAACTAAATAGAGTTGAATCTCGCTTAACAAGCATAACTTTTTCCAAAATTTAGTTGTAATGCCAAACACTCATTGAACGAAAATAACATTTTCCACAGGAATCAATGTAAAATAAGATGTGTTCCATTCGAAACAAAATACTCAAAAAAATTTATAATACGTTCTTTTTTACGAGAAAGTTGTCTAAAGACATTTGTTTTGGCTTACGCTTCAGAATAAGCCAAAACAAGAAACAAGGTGCTAAGCATTTTCCTGACCATAGATTCTGCTGCCCGGTGCGGCCGCAACAGTTGCTTACGCTCTGGCTTCGGCCCTGCACATAGCTACTGCCTTATAAGGATGATGCTTCTCAACTTACGATGCAACACTTTCCTATCCCTTTTAGAATCTCCCTTGTTTTGCTGGAAGGTTATTACTTTACTGAGGCTACTTACAGCCTCGCCACAACATCCTCCTCCTTCCCTTATGAAATCTCCTCCACTGCTTCTTACTGTGATACAGAATGCAACTCCATATACTCTTCGGCGATCAGCCCCTGGCTATGCTCTTCCATTAGCTCATTGATGTTGCTGTGCTATGGCGATGCTATCATTAGCTCATTGATGTTGCTGTCCTATGGCGATGCTATCATTAGCTCATTTTGTATCAATCTCGTCATTATCTCGGCCAGAGACACAATTCCGTTGATTACAGGCTTGACAAGCACGTGCTCAAACTTCTGAAAGTCGTGTTCGATTTTATTTTTTACAGATAACCAAACACCTCATTGATCCAGTCAGTAAAAATGTTCCATCCAAGCCTTGTTGTTGGACCTTCACATGACATTTAGTCTGCTCTTCTGGGCTTCTCGTGGATTGTCTGAATGGTAAATGAGTAGGGATTTAATTTTCAAATTGCCACTTACATTTGCACAAAACAACAGATAGAATCTTTCATTGGTTTGTGGCCCAGGAATGCCATGTCCTCTGCAGAAACATAAAATTGCTTTGGCATATTTTTACAGAAGAGACCCATCTCATTACAATGAAAAACTTGCTGCAGCAGATAACACTCAGAATTTCCAAGATTCATGAATACGCCGATGAATTTCTTGGCTGCCCTTATGTCTGAGCTTGCCGCTTCTCCATGCCTCATAATGTTGTGAATGCGGATTTCCTCTGAAACTTTTCGAATCGCCCCTGGTTAACCTAGAATGCTTCTTCGTCGTCCATTGATGATCGTGGAGTCTTCTTTGAGGTCATCAAAAATTAGTTTCGCTTTCTCACAAATTATGCTTTTGTTAATAGTATTAGTTGTATTTTCTTCTTATTGATCCAAACAAGAAGCAGTCTTTCAACATCGTCGGAGAATATATGGCTATTGAGTAAAAATTCTTACACGTTTTGAAGAAGCAATCTCTTTAATTTGTTTTTGAAGGATATAAAAAATCGGTAATGCAGACCGACTATGTGCTAGGTCAGCCCACTATGCTCGCACCTCATTTTCAATGATTTGATGTGTAACTTCTACGGTGACTTTTCTTCTGCTACCTCTGTCTTCTTGCAGCATATTCTTTGTGGACGAACATGTAAGCATGCTCAGAATTTTTCCATTAAAACAAAAAAAAGTGCTTGGATATAACTTTCACAAGCATAAATAAGATGCTAGCTAAATGAGCGCTGAACACAGACTGATAGCCGATATGTAGGCAGGATCTTGCATGTGATATCACGGTGTCTTCACATCACTCATGCTGTGACACATCGCTCATTAACAGGGATAATTTTTTACATTTTGTTTTATTTGTTATGGGAGGTGTTCATTAAGCGATATTTAACTGTAAAAAAATTATTTATTATTTTTGCAGTACTAAAATAAACTACTTTTTATTTGCATAAAATGTAATACGAAACAGAATATACATTATTAGATCTCTTTGTACTTGCTTTATATAAATTTATTATTTTAATGAAAATATTTCAAAGCTGCCAAAACACTTCAGGTAAAATAGGAAACTCTTGATTTTTTATTACATCTCCCAATAAATATCCATACCTTTCGGTTTTTAATTTGTATGAATTAGATCATATCTTTTAAACGTAAATTGAGAAGAAAAGTTGATAACTGTTAGAGGAAATATAAAAATTTGGGGAATGACAAATGTTTGAAAAAGTATCACCCCAAACAAAATAAAATTTTTACAATTTAAGTTTTATTTGTACAAATTGCATTTTTTCCTTATTTTTTTCAAAGTAGTTTTATCAGAAGTGCTTTAATATACACTGACGGAAAAAAGTTCCAACACCAAGAAGGAGTTGTGCTAGAAAAACTAAATTTGGTAGCCATGTTTGTACATCTCAAAGATGACGTCTATTAAAATTTTGCGCTAGGCGCATTAAGTGTGGCTCTAGTAGCACCACTATGAACATGCAATTCAGGTTTACTTTTAAAGACGCGCTATGAAGTTTGTAAGATTCACTCCTGTGTACTTTAAGTTACAGTTTAATGTTAAGAATCTTAAGAACTAGTAAGCGAATAATCGCTTTAGTCGTGAGACAGTAACCAAAATTTGAAAAAGGTTAAAGACCCTTTATTATTCAAATAAGGTTTAACAGAACTCTGTCTTGGAGTTTTACAATAAAGCCGACACTCGAGCCTGAACTTAGGAGACTGAGAACTTAACTAAAAAAATATAGCCGAAGCTATGAAACTTCTTATGGAGTTCGCCCCTTAATACTAATTGACTGCGAAGCCATCAAAGGTCTAAAGCACAGCCGACGTAATAATAGCTTAAGAGAGAGTAGCCTAAAAAGGCGGACGCATGCTAGCCAGAATCTCTGGTTCTCTCTAGCTAAGAAAGTAGAACTTTGCGATTAAATGCCGCTCTTCCTCATTTTGCATTCAAACGTGATTCTAAAACTACGTTCTGGCCAGAAGTTGTAAGTTAAAGTGATAGGAAAGGAAGTTTAACTCAAAATTTAACTGTTAGATAAATTAATATAATCCTTACAAGTTCAAGAGCGTTATTATCATTAAGATTTGGCGTAGTGAGGTGATGCTAGTCAAAAATGCTTTTAAGAAGATAGAGAAGCCATCATCAACTGCTCAGTAAATTTGAAATGAGGTCTTGTAAGGCTGCTATCACACATCCGTTTGTTTCGGAAGAACAACTGTTTAGAACAATTTTTCTGCTTTGTCACCACATATCATTTGGGGTTAACATGTAAAGGGGAAACTGGTTCTCCATTACAAACAAGCTGGAAATTTTTATACCAAACCTCTTCAAAAATTCAACGGTTAAGCGACTCATGAAAGATTTTCCTTGATCAGTTTGAACCTCCCTTGGAAAACCCATCCGACTAAATACCTGCAAGAGTGCATTACAACAGATTTCGACGTTATATCCGGTACCGGGACGGCGTCAGGATATTTAGATGCTAAGCACATAACTGTAATAAGATATTTATTACATTCAGTAGATGTAGGCATAGGCCCGCAAGCATCTACATTAACCTTACTAAAGACTTCTGATATCACAGGTACTATTACCAACGGTGCTTTTTTTTTTTGTCACTTGCTTTTCCTACACGTTGACAGGAGTCACATGTTTTAACGAATTCCTCAATGTCTTTATAACCAGTCTTTTGTTTTCAGAACTCCTAAGTGACCTGAAGTTCCTTCATGACAAATTGCTTTAATTTGCTCTCTGGGGTTTTCTGGAACAACAATTAAATGTTCTTCTCCTTCTAACTTATTTACCTTCTTTTTTACTAATACCCCATTTTTAATCCCATAACTTGTTTTACTTCCGCTTTTTACTAGTTTCTAATAAAGGCGCAAGTTCTTTACTTTTTTGTTGTCATCAATAAAAGTACTTGAGTCTATTTGAATCGCAGGACTTGTGGGGACACAAAGGTTGACAGGAGGTATATCTCTCTGTTTTCAGACCTCTCATGAGCATCGTCCTCCTCTTCCAATCTCTAACTCATTCTGCTCAGAATTTTGATTCGTCTCCACCTAAATTTTCCGCTTCCTTTAATTGTTGTGCTTGAGATCGAGTAACGACGCATTAACATTACCCGACATACGACGAATAATTTTTCTCAGTTCCTCTGAGAAGAGCCGCTGTCTGGTTGCCTAATATATATCGTCCTTGGTCTAAGTGGTCTCCTATAACAGCTGCTTTGGTGGTTACTGTACCACCCAATCGCATTCAATATCTACTTCAGCAACAGGTAAACAAGTCATATGATCATCCAAGCAAATGTCGAACCCTACACATGTTCTCCCCTTTCATTCTATATCTATCTACATATTTCTGACAAATAATTATCTACCGTTGCTTCCTGTATCTCTTAGAATAGGTACTTCAAAACCAATTTACTCTTCCATTTAATGTATAGGAGATTCTAACAGATTCTACTCCGATTTTCCGCTTATCCGATACAAATCTGCCTTTTGAGTTTTAAAATTAGAGCACTGAGGGCGTAAATGGTCAAAAGATCCACATTCATAGCACTGGAGTCATTTTCTCCTATCAAAATTCGAGTCCGACTTTTTCCCAACATTGCGTGCATCATCATCATCTTTTTTAAATTGTGTGCCCATGAGGGTTTTTTTTTTATTTTTGAAAACCGTTACCAGTGGACTGAAAAACACCCATTTATCTACCTGATGTTATAATTTTAATTTCACCGAATTTCGTTTTCCCAACCATCGTCTTTTTCGCATCTTCAAATTTCCTCTATTTTACCCACCAAATTGTTTTGGAATGAAGTGATCGTGGCCCATTTCATCTAAATAAAATGTTACTTAAACTCATTTAGGCGTGCGCCTTTTAATTTGATCTACCAACATTAAATCCTTGAGTTGCTCAAATGTTTCGATTTTTAATCCCTTGAGCCACCCATCTAAAAATGTCTTAAGTTCGTGATAAAAACAGTACCACGTAGAATCCGGATTTTTCTGAGTCTTAACAAGTTGCCGAAACTTCTCAGCACTTAACTTAAATCTTTTAAGTAGTAATTCTTTAATATGTTGTTAATCTCTAGCCTGTTCTTCAGGCTCCCTAGCAATTATATTATTTACCTCAACCGGAAGGACACCAATGAGATATGACACCCATTGATCCGTGGACAATTTTAAAACTTTAGCTTGCCTCTCAAAAAGTTCTAAGAATAAACTCATATCATCAGTCTTTAAATTAAACTTGGGCATAAGTTTCTGAAAATTCTGATTAAATACGGTTTCACCTCCAGGTTTAGCAAATTCAGTGTTCTGTTTTGCTTTAAGGCATTCTAGTTCTAACTGTTGCTTTTCAATTTCTTTATTTTGTTGTAGTATCTGAAATTCCCTCTCCCTAGCTTCCTGTTCTAACTGTAGTTCTTTCGCTCTTGTTTGCTTCTCTAAGTTTTCCTTTTCTATCCTATCAGTCATATTACTTTCTAACAAATTTTTAACAAATTCTTCCTCATAATTTTTACTATTCGTTATTAATTGTTTTAAATCTATCTTTTTCATATCTTCTAAAGCTATTTCCCCAAGTTCTGAAGCGACAAGGAATAGATCCCTTTTCTTAGCTTTCCCCAAAAATGCCATTTTCACAAAAGTAATCGTTCAAAACAAATAACTCAAATAGTTATTCACAAATAATACACATAAAACTATATCAGAGATATAAAAAACACTAACTTTTCTTCTTCTTACAAAATTAGGCAAATGAAAATAAAAGGTTAATAAAAGCATTAATCATTTTGAATTTATTTCCATTCAAACATAAAACGAATAAACATTCCTTACTGAATATTTCGTATAAAAAATTAATAACAAATTCTTTTCATTTAGTACAGCCAGACAGAGAAAAACCAGAGTGGCGCCAATAAATATAAACACCTTCTAATTAACTTCGTTTTCATGATAGCTACTTCCGTTGGCAACTACATGGCCAACGCAAATACTACGTGAATTTCGATAGGCGCAGGTTTAAATTCAGAACACTATTAGAACCTTTTTCTTTACTGCTCAAAGCTTTAAAAAATTATAAACTGAAATGATAAAATTTAGCATTCTACTTATCAGAATATACACATCCATATTAAAATACAGCACTGGTGTGCTTTCATGAGAAAACCAAAGTAACAAGTTTTTAATATATTCAACAACTTATTTCTTTCACAAGAATTTAACATAAATTTTCTTCTAATGACTTAGAAATGAAAATTGCAATATTGCACTGATGTGCTTTCACATAACACAAAATAAACAGTTAAGATTCTATTACCAATTTATAGCGAAACGTTAAACATAAATACACTGATGTGCTGTTTATTTACGGGAATGGATTTTTCCCATTATCATACAAAAGAAAAATATCTCGTTAGATATTTAAATGCAACACTTTGATTGTTTTAAAAACTCTTATGCACTGACGTGCTATAAAATGCACTGATGTGCTACGTGTTAATGGGAAAATGTTTTCCCGAATATACCGCAAAAGGAAAATATCTTGTTAGATATATAAAACAAACACATTGAGTGTTTAAAACTCTTATGCAATGATGTGCTACTTCTGCTTTGGGAATTGATTTCCCGAATAAGTAATAAATAATAACTACATTATACTCTTCAGGCCTGGAAATGAATATTGTGGAGAACACATACCTGGTCTCTTGTCACACAAATCTCGGTTGGAACCTCCAATTTTTATTTTCTTTTTCGTCTGTGACGTCGTGGATGCTTCAGTATCAACACTGGTATTGGTGATGCATCACTTTAATTACAGCACATATCACAGATACAACATTTAATTAATAATTTAGAAAACTTGAGTACATATCCGAGTTGGTGACACGATCAGAGACGTTAACGAAGATAGCACTCGTCATCACTGGACAAATTTAGTCTCCACACCTCAGCTCGCTGGCGGAGCTTCCCAAACTCTCTCTCACTGGCGTCCGACCAGAATTCTCTTCTCTTTACGCATGCATATTACTCCGTTAAGTCGTTGCCATTCACAGTTCTTTAAAATATGAATTTAAAATGAATTATAGTCCTCGTAGTGTGAGGAGTTTGCTACCGACGTTCTCTTTAGTCAAGAGCATTATAGGTCTTTCTAGTAGAGTTCAGGAGCGTTCTTTACAACTGGTTGCAAGGATTTGCTCTCTCCTCCCCTATATTTTGAACTTGAACTCTGCCATCATTTCATGTTATGTTTCTATAGTAAATATTTCAAAGTTACTAGTCGAATGATTATTACAGGAGGAAATTCTCATTCATATGACATAGCATAGTTAAATTCTTTGCTCTATAAATGTATAAGGTATTTTCTCCCACTTTTCCGCATGCCTTCCTGGTGGAAGTATACTCGATGCATATTCGGAAGGTTCAGAGTTTGAGTTACACTGCCTTGGCTTGCCTAGCCGCTGATAAAGGGCACTGCCGATTTTTTTACATCTCTTGCTTCAAAAAAATGACAACTCTATAAATGGTACCCAAACTAAAAGGTGGTGGACGATAATTCGTCACCAGTTACCCTCTCAAAGGGAGAGTGTATAAGGTATTTTCTTCCTCCTTTCCGCATGCCTTTGTTGTATAATGAAACATACTCAACGTGTATTTGGGGGCCCTGAGTTCAAGTCTCGGGGACGGCATTGCACATTTTTCACTTTTCCAGCACCAAAAAACTTGATGACTCTTGCGCTATAAATGTTATTTTAAGCCCTCGAGTTGCTTCGCCACATCTAAATATTATATCAATATATTTTATGTCAAAATCATGTTAGATTTAATTTTAATAACCCAGGTTATAATTATTAATTTGAATCGAATTTGACAGTTTAGATTCTTTTGAAGTTGTGTCGACATGACCTGAAAACTTAATAGTTTTCCTATCACCTAATTTGGCAAAAATATTTTAAAACCAACCAACCATTTAAAACTAACCATTTTTGGTGCAGATGTGCACCAAAAAATAAATAAAATATGCAAATAAATTTACAACAAACACAATTTTATTTTTGGAGTTAATGAAGATAATTCCTGATATCAGGATCGCTTAGTGTAAAACAAAAATCAGGCAATCCAGATAACTAGAGAACTAATGCTAGTGTTGGCTATGTGATTATCCAAATTCAAAATGTAGCCATTAAAATGCTTTTATATTTAACTTGAATTAATTGGTATGTATTTTTATTTCCAATGAAAAAATTCAGTTTTTAACTACGTGTAATGAATATTTCCCTCCCGTCTTTTACAGCAGGCAGAAAGATGAAGATGAGGAAGTTGAACAACTGAGTCAAGCAAATCCCAGCCCCTAGTTCCCCAAGCTATACAGGGTGTTTAGAGCTTCTCTTATAGCCATAGAGTGTTGCCAAGTCATGTATATTAAAATCTTCTGCGATATCTTACAAATTTAAACTTCATATATAAAATGTTTTACACGTTAGATCGCTGATATGACATAAGAAAAAGAAAGTATGGTGTCTCAGTCAAAACCTTTTGAGTGTTTTAGACTTTTATGTGTAGTCCAAAAAAAAGGTTTTTGAATGTCACAATATATGTTTTTGTGATACTACAATTATATTTCATGTTGATAAATCCTGGGCATTCAGAAACATATATTTCTATACCAAATATTTTCACTGTGCCATTGAACCAAAGGTTGTTTCAGGCTTGGCAAAAAAAAAAAAAAAAAAAAAAAAAAAAAAATAGTCTTTTAGTGTGTTCCTACAGGAGATGCATATTTTCGTTTTATCATTCAGCAAAGTTTTGCATATCTTTTCGAATATTGTTTGTCATTGTATATTTCATCATTTCATATACATTTAGAAGGGGGCCCAAGATCATCATTTAATATTTGCATTAAAATATTTTTCTGAATTGAACCTTATTTTGCTCTTCCTGTGGCAACAAAAATTAACGTATAGAATACATTAATTTTGTTGCCACTAAAAATTAAGGTATAGAAAAATCTGTATTCCCTAAAAAATCTTTAATAGTTATCTAAATGTATTATTGTTACAAAGAAAGTCATTAAAAAAGCTCCTTATTCTTCTACATGTGAATGATTATAAAAATAATGTATAAAATGATAGTCATGTATAATAAGTAGTAGAAAGTGTTGAATTCTGGGAGAAGACACACACTAGGATTATTTATTACATTTGAAATACTTATGGAGAATTTTAAAAATTTTTGTTGTACTGTAAGAATTTTAGATGCACTTTTTAACAGGAAAAGTTAAACAAGTGAAATCTATATTCCAGATGGGACTTTTGAAACCACCTTAATGTTCAATTTCAGTTATGTTTTAAAATCTACATGACTTGAAAATGATCACATTTATTATATACTGTATACCTAAAAGCAAAATAATTTTTCCAATATTTGCAAATTCCACAGAAATAATTTTAAAATTATGAAAAATGTTTTTCTTGTTAAAGAGTACTTTGGATACTTAAATTTCTAACACAGCAAGGATTTTTAAACTAAATTTTAAAATTGGAAATTTTAAAAAAATTTTAAAAATCTTCCTACAGCTTAAAATGGAATAAATATGAAATCTTATTGTTCAACATTTAAAACTGTACTGTTTAGATATTCCTTTGAATAATAAAAATTTCTTGAAAAAAATATTCAAAATATACTGACACGTAGTAAGAGTTTTGACTACAATAACAGTGGCAAAATGTTCCAAAACACGGTGCATCTAATGCTTCTTTTATTACATATACTTAAGAAATGAAATAGATTTTGTATAACAACTTTGCTCTTGTTAAAGACAGAGTGCTATTTGTGTGAAGATTGAGCTATTATAAATCCATTTGTTTTGGAATGTAAACATCACCAGACAAAGTCTAATGAAGAAGATTTGTTAATGAAGTCTAATTAATGAAGATTTGTTAACTTATTTTCATAACAGATTTAGAGCAGGATTAATATAGCATTTATGCTTTTTAAGCTAAATAATAACAGTAATTTTTTAATTATCTCTGGTTTAAATTATTATTGATTATTACTCAAAATTTTCATTCATTATGAAATCAAGTGTAGCTTTGATAATTTTATACAATATTTTTTTTAAGTTAGCTCTTTTATAATCAGTGTCCTATTACATGGCACAAAATAAAGAGAGCAAAGTATTGAACAAACATATAGCAATATTAAGCAATCTTTATAAATATTTAGTTGTTTAAAACTTGTAACTTCCTTTACCACCAAAGATTATCAAATGCCTCTGGTAGTTACTAACCTGTTCAATGCACTATTGAGCACTGAAAAATTATGTACATATATATATAGGATTTGGTTCAAAATTTTACTTTTTGACATATATAGAGAGAGAGAGACAAAAAGTAAGAAATTTAGAACTCTCTCTCTCTCTCTCTCTCTCTCTCTCTCTATATATATATATATATATATATATATATTTTTCCCTTCTTCCTCCACTACTAAGTGGAAGAAACAGAAAAATGTACCCGTGTAGTAGGAAGATTAAAAATAATAATTACGAATGTTTTTTAACTTTATTTACAGTTTCATGTCATTTATAAATACATTAAACTGTATTTTGAAATATCAAATATTTCTGCAATACCAGTAAAAATATGATACCAAGGAGATAAAATAACAAAATAAACTTCATTAATTTTAAGGAAAACATTTAAACCTTTTCTTATATTACTTTTTAAAACTCTTTTAAGGAATTAAAAACAAACCAATTAAATTCTGAAATAATTACTTCTACACATGCATTTAATATTTCTCTATCCTTTTATTTCTGCATGATATATAACAGAATGAATAAGAAATATAACTACATGTTTGATTCAATCATACAGGGTAAAATAAAACAATTCAAACTTTTGAAAATTGTAGGTACTGCCAAAGAAATATTAATTTTGAATAATTATTTCAATGGATCATAGTTGTTTACTGTTACAAGTAAATATAGCATTTGAAATTCTATTTACAGTTTATTCTGCAAGCTTTAAAACTGTTTTAGCGCAAAATAGAGATTTTCCCAATCAGACTGAATTTTTGATTTAGTTTTATGTTGCAATGACTGTGGTCTTGTAGAAAAATATAATTGAAGCATTTACGAGATCATCTCAAGTGTTTAAGAGCCCAACAAGACAATGATATTTCACTTATTAACCTGATTTCAAGAAACTAAAAAACATTTACCGTTAGGAAATGAAATCCATTTTGTTCGAATTCAAAAAGACAGGACCAGTCTCTTCTGAATTGAGACAAGATAGATGAAGTGCAGAATAAAGTGTTGTAGTTGCAACATAGAGTGCGAGAAAACTAGCATCACAGTCAAATTTATTATACTAGAGTGCACAATTTGTGTCTTATGATGAATGCTTTCAGTTTCTCAAAGTGACGTTATTAAATGAAAAATCACCTTTCTAGATACACAAATATTTGGGAATGTTTCTTTAAATGCTTCAACTTTTCTGTCAATGTGCACTGCAAAATAATGCTCAATCATAAAAATTCATTCTGCTTGGGAAATTAATATCAATCTTGCCCCAAATAAATCATTTTTGAAATTAACTGCATAAACTACAAGTGAAATTTTAAGCAAAACATTACTTGTGACAGTACAAAGGCATCATCTATTGAAACAATTTGCTGTTAATATTCATTGTGAAATTTACACATTTTTTTAAATTTTAACATATGTGACTTTTATATCAACCTGTATGATTAAAAAAACATCAGGGATCGGAAAAATGAGATAACTGCATTAGAAAACCAAACTGAAGAACAATAATACCACCCAAATACAATTTATTAGCTCAAACTGCTCGCTCTTTTGATACATATTCAAATCTTCCAATCCTTACCCCCACTGTACCTACATCAATATTACTTATAGGTCATTTCTGGAAACTTTCTGATGTTTCTCATAATTAAAAGTTGTTTTCACTTCTCCTACAGTTCACAACAGTGCTTGCTGCATTAAAATTCTCTCTCCAGTCTTATGATCATTCTGAGCAGTGACCAGTTGTTATTCAAATCATTCTGGTTAAACTAGTGCTGTGATAAATTATTTAACGAGATCAGTTACAGCATGAACAACAGCATGTTCATTTTGTAATTAACTTCCTCCTATATGTTGAATGCCATCATGGCTAATGAATGTTAACTTCACTATGCTGCTGCTTTAGCAGTGCTAATTTTGCCATTTCTCTTTCTGGATATCTTCTTCATCGCCAATACCTACAAGATTCCATCATCATTTCAGCATTCATTTTCATCATTGGCAGTTATCCACTTCTGTATTATCTTCTCCAGAAAGCTTCTACGATTCTAATATTACAAAATTTGCTCTTCTCGACCAGAAATCTATGAACACATCATCACTGAATCACAGTCTGCTCAAAAACAATTATTCTATACTCCCATTATGTCTTTGCTTCTCCCACATGCATATGTGAATTGATGTCACTGAAGTTGAGTATTGAAGGAACCTAACTTTGTTTGTCTACTACTCTTATCCATTTTAGAAATTTCTATGGTTATCATACAGGATTATGTCCTTAAGTTCCTTGATTTAACAAAGATAAGTTTCCCCAAGATAAGCTTTAGAATGTGATTTTCATTTAAAATAAAGATTTAGTTCTATAACGCCATTTACACACACACAGTCTGCTCAAAAACAATTATTCTATACTCCCATTAAGTCTTTGCTTCTCCCACATGCATATGTGAATTGATGTCACTGAAGTTGAGTATTGAAGGAACCTAACTTTGTTTGTCTACTACTCTTATCCATTTTAGAAATTTCTGTGGTTATCATACAGGATTATGTCCTTAAGTTCCTTGATTTAACAAAGATAAGTTTCCCCAAGATAAGCTTTAGAATGTGATTTTCATTTAAAATAAAGATTTAGTTCTATAACGCCATTTACTAATTTAAAATAAAGATTTAGTTCTATAACGCCATTTACTATCTACACGTAAAATATAAGGTAACACATTACATTTTTTTTCCTAATGTGTAGCCATATTTCTAGCTCATTCTTCCCAAAAATTAAATTCCTGCGTCGACTTAACTATTTTGAACTCTTAATGAGTATGACTTTCATGAATTTTTCAAGAAATTAATTATTTTAAAATAATGATAAAAACTGCATTAATAATAAGCATCCCCCTCAAAACCAATCATTTTTCAAAGAGGATGTTAGAAAACGAAGCAATACATGTTGAACACTTCTACATTTTTAAAATGTATCCTTCCAGGTATTTTTAAAAGTTAAATTTCACAAAAATATCAAACAAACGACTGCATATATAGCATAGATACAGTAGCTGACCCTTCAATGTAAATGTAGGCAGTTTACTTTACTATACATGTAAGAACATTTATTTCACTGCAGGAATACACTGCACATAATTTCAAAAAAGTTGATTTTTATGTAGTTTTTTTTTTCCCAATATTATTTGCAAATTTTTCAAGCAAGATTGTAATACTCTGATTGATAAAATTTAATTTTTTCATATTTTGTCAAAGTAACACTTTTGTAATTTAGAACAAAAAAATATAAATGAAAATTAGTTTGTTTAAAAATTATTTAATGGTCTCAAGTAGTTTTTAGACAGCTAATTAAATTTTGTATAGTTAAAAGCCAGCATTTAAAAGGGAATAATAATTTTTGCATAGGATTCAAGTTTCACCAAAATGTTATTCATAATTCCTTTTTAGTTTACTTTCTGAATTTTTGTACTCATAATATTGTATAGATTTATTTAATAATTCTTTCACGAAATTTCATCCTTCATACAACATCTCATTGTAATTTATTTGCTGCTATCCTTTACTCCTACATAATATCTGAATTTCTTAAACAAATGAAAGTTGTGCTGATATTATTTTAATAATTTTTTACATACACTGAAATTTTTTTGTGCACACTAACATTTAATAACAATAGTTTTTAAAAGTTTTTTTCTCTTTTGTTATATAGAAATAAGATATTAAATTAGCGTTTATATATTTTGAGCTATGCAAATAAATTTATAATTGTTACAATACTATGTATTGAGAATATTTTTAGTATAAGCAATATCTTGCTGTGAAAAAATGTATTAAAAAACTGCCAAATTAGTCTTCTTTCAATATCTGTTTCTAATTTCTTATAAGCTAAATGAAAACACTTTACATGATGCATTTCTAAAAACACATATTTTAGTACAAGAGAAGTCTGGTTGTTGAAAATGTATTACACAGTTGGCATTTCTTTCAAATAAGTATTTTTAGATGAAGCTTGGTAAAAAACATTAAATGATGGCTGATTATCACTTGGCATATATGATTTATCATACTCATTGCTCATAGAGTGTATTTAAAGCTAATACAGAAGTTAAGTCAAAATGTAGCACACAATCCACTGTAACCCTATAATGGTAAGCACTAGCTAAATGAAATTTTGTAGATAGAAGGCATTTGTCCTTTACCACCTAGCCTATATTTAAATTTTCTCTTTTTACAAGTAAGCTACAATGGATGATCAACGTGCTAACCTGTTATGGCAGCGTGCAGTGATCAAATTTTCTACAAATCCAGACATAACTCAGCAACATTGATTTACAGTAAACTGCTGCCAGTCTGTGAGGTTAATGTAAAGTAATGTGCTTCAGTGCTTTCAGGGTGGTGATTGTGTGGTGTAGTGGCCGTAACCGCTACGCAAACCCTGGGGTGTGACACAGGGTTGAAATGAACTTCAAACTCAAGTTTTAACAATAACATGAATTTTAATAAGATGAAAGCCTTAACAGTTGCATATCTTGACAATATGGGACTTGGATATATTTAGTCCCGTAATTTCAGAATTTTGTTACAGGAAAAATGCTGTCGCACATTATACACGAGGAAT